GTCCCTTAGAGCCTTATATTTTAGAGCCTTCCCTTTGATTATCTTACACTGATCCCTCCAGCACTGAAATAAAAATCATGTGAAAGTCAGTTAAAACCACAGTTTAATGACAGACTTTCTTGAGGGGGTAGAGTAATTTACCTGCATCCACTGGTCAATAGACTTTTTTGGACCCTGGATTAAATTAAGGCTATCAGCCATAATTTTCTTCAAAGATTTCAGGTCTTCCTTTGCGGTGCACCCCTCGAGCTCTCCCTGACATAGCTCTGGATGCTCATCCATGAACGTCACCATAAAGTTCTTTTGGCTTGGTGAAACATTTTGAGATTTGGGAGCATAGTTACAGTCATAATCTTGATCATCCATGACAAAGCAACCTAAAATAAAACAAACAAAAAAAAAACAGAAAAGTAAACCAGTGCACAGGTCAGTTGAAATGGTAGATATATAGAGACAGGTAATGTCACGGTCTATCTTCAGTTTGGGGGAAATATTTTACAAATCTCGGAGGTTAGGATGAATTGATGCAGGTTCTTGATGATTCCCCCCTTTGATACCCCGTGGCAAGAAATAAATACAAAGCTAACACTCAATAATATTGGTTGAACATTACTATTTTTATTATAAACTTTAGGTTGGCAGATATTAGCGAGGAATCAAAGTCTTATTTTATGCTAATGCAAGCAAATAATAATAACAACCAATTTAATCAACAGGGCGTCCCCCGGAAAAACAATACACTACAACACTACACTACCGCCAAAACCAGCGGAAACAGTACAGAGTACAAACGGACACACCGGAAACACAAACTCAGAAACGAGCCGGAAACAGCCGAACTCTCAATGGAGCCGGAAATGCGTGGGAACACACCACGGGACTGCCGGCCGCAACCGGGCAGTACACAAATCTCCAAAAACACGGAGAATGGAAAAAGGGTTAAACAACCCGACAATTGTCTAAACTCACACACACAATCACACACACAATTTAAGTACTGGGCCCAGATTTTACATATTACACTGACTCACTACTGTGGTGAACAGAAAACATCATTGCAGCCGTAACATGGCGGCGACGGCTGGCCGGTGAGAGCGGGGCCGCGGGGGGCGGCGCCGTGAAGGTGAAGTGCTCGGCGAGGCAGGCGCCGGCGACTCGGGCAAAGGCGGCATGGCAGCAGAGAGGGAGGCGAACGGCGACTCTACTCAGTCATGTTCGTGGCACTTAGGCCCCCGAACGAGTTGCCCTGCAGATGAAACAGGATTGAGCACATGTGTGCAGCACAACAACAGTGGAGCGAACGGGATCCGGTGGAAAAGATCACACACCTTGCGGGCTTCTGTTGAGTAGCGCATGGCAGCCGGGACGGTGATGTTGGAATTGGTGATAATCCAAGTTCAATTGTTGCGAATCACACGCGTAAACGGAACGAGTTTTGACCTGTCCGTCCTCAACGCGAGGTCCCCTGCCGACTGACCGCGCCGCTCCGTGCGCTGGGCGAGCGGGCCGGGCGGGCGCTCTCTCTCTCTCACTCGCCACCGGCGCGCTGTCGTCTGCTGTCGTCTGCTGACTGCTGACCGGAGCCAGCCGGCGCGAAAGAGCGGAGGTTTTGAAAAGAACTCTTCGTCGGGCGACACCAAGCCGCGACACCTCCCCCTTCTTCACAAAAAAAAGTACAAAGTACTTTTTTGTTAACTTCTATGTAACTTCAATTGCTCTACATGCCATGGTCCGTCCTCCCTGTTCTGCTCGTCTTCTAACAGGTAAGACACTCTTCCTACTCTTGCCTTCACCTTGTATGGCCCAATCCATTTGGAGGCCAGCTTCTTACTGAAGTAATCCGCCTTGTTCGACTTGACAAAGTTTCTCCGTAGCACCATACAGCCGGGCTGGAAATCTTGATGAGGTCGTCGGCGAAGGTTATACCGTGAGGCATACCTTTGTTTCGCCAAGCGAATTTTCTCCTTCAATTCTTCATAGAATTGACGTTTCTCATTGATCTCAGAATCCTGGAGAGGTTCAGGATCTAAAATCTGTGGATCTTCGGCGCCATCGTACTCTCTTTCACGACCATCGAGAATGAGAGATTCACCGAAGATTACTTGGTGGGGACTAACCCCAGTGACATGACTAGCAGACGTATTCAACGCAGTTTGGATTTCTGGAAGAAAAACATCCCATTTCCTGTGGTTTTCTTGAACGTAAGAGCATATTAGAGTCTCCAAGGTCTGATTCATCCTCTCAGTGAAGTTTGTCCTAGGGTTATAAGCAATATTGTACCTTATCTTGATGTTGTAGGTCTGGCAGAGCGCCTGGAAAACTTTACTGCGGTACTGCTGCCCGTTGTCAACCTGAATGGCTCTTGGAGCGCCATGCTTCAGTATGACGTCTTCATAGAGATGAGCAGTGACTGCGGCTGCAGTTGCAACGCGGACAGGCCTGATGTAGACGTACTTGGAGAAAGCGTCAGTGATGACAGAAATTGCAGTGTGACCCTTGGAGGAGCGGGCCGGGCGGGCGCTCTCTCTCTCTCACTCGCCACCGGCGCGCTGTCGTCTGCTGTCGTCTGCTGACTGCTGACCGGAGCCAGCCGGCGCGAAAGAGCGGAGGTTTTGAAAAGAACTCTTCGTCGGGCGACACCAAGCCGCGACAGTAAGTTGACAGACATATAGATGATCCAAGTCCAACTAATTATATGTCAATAGATGTGCAGGCTTGTGACAAAAGCAAAAACATTTAGATTCAACTCGTTACAGAAGTGAGCAAACTCAAGTCAATTAGACACATTCGAACAGTCAAACATGTTAAATTTGTGCTGACTGGTGAACTAAAATTAGGTGGAAAACATGGAAGTAATAAGGGTATAGTCAAAACAACTTCATCGAATGAGTCAGTGACACAAAATGGCACTCTGAGAATCAGGGTGCAGGAAGACGAGATGGACAGGAAGACGAGATGGACAGGACAAATGAAAGACCTGAAACCAACGGGGAGCCAGGAACAGATGAGTGGACATATTGTGGAAAGGGTGTGTAGAAAATTAGTAGCTGAGATAAGCCAAACCACATCAAATAACTGAGAGGAGCATACATAAACCTCAAAGTTCTTATCTAACATCACGAGGAGACATGACAGTCGACCATGACATTGAACAGAGCTGAAAAAGCTGAAAGAAATGAAGGCCAGGTTGAGTACAAAGCATACAAAGCAAAAACACAATATTCACAGGATTCAGGGACTGGGAACTGGACCTTAGAAAACTGTTATCAGTGGCAGATTGACAACAAACCAGAACAAAGACAAAAAACCGAGGCGCGCGGACGCTGAATTAGCAATGAAAACAACAAGCGGGCAAAAAAAGACAGAGGTTAAGAAAGGTTCCATCAGCTTCTGAACGACAAAAAACGTCATTTACAAGGGGAAAACTTGTAAAGGCATGGAAAGGGGACAAATCAAGTTCGAAGTAGAGCATTCTAGCTCGAAAATTGGATTTTTAAAAAATCAAAAACCACAGGTCCCCCAAATGACGTTTTTTAAAGATATTTTTTTAAATGTTTCCTAAGGGGTAACTCATCAAAGTAGAGCCCCATGGGCGAAAATTTCGACCGTTTGGCTCTATCTCTAACCGTTGAGGCGCCAGACACTGTTTCCACACGGAAATGACCCCAAACCATTTCAATGTTCTTTCTCAAATATTTCATGGTCTCAGAAGGGTCAACTCGTCAAAATAAAACCCTGGGGAGCAATAATTGCGACTTTTGGGGCCGAAGGCCTATTTACGACGCTTTCTTTTGCCCGACTCGGGTGTCAGCGCTGCAGGCCTAGGTAGATGTATGCCAGGCGCGTCGCAGCGTAACATTGTTTCGTGAGATATCGCGAAGCCTGTTACGCGAGACGTGGTCTGGCGTACATCTACCTAGTTTGTCATAATTTCATCGTAAGAAGATTGTTTTTAATGTATTTTCATCGTTGGGCAGACGATTACTTACTTGTTATGTAAACAATACTACAATAATAACACGGAAGTCTCAAGTCTCTTCCTTTCGTCCACTGTGGGCGCCAAGAGAGCGTAACGGCTAACGGCTAAACGCGGCAATGGCCAACGGTCAACCGAACGAACCTTCGTGGAAACAAATGACGGCGCGCCAACGATTTGAATTCTTGCAGCTTTTACGCTGTTTTCATACTTAGTATGGCGTTTTCATGTATTTTAAATATTTCAGAGAGGTTTTTCGTAATGTGTTTCAATAATTTTGCGCCTTAAATGTGCTCTTGGATGAAGAGATGTGGAGGGGTGGTACATCCGGCTCGCGGGAGAGCTTCGGGACAGCATTTGGAGCCATTTAAAGCCATTAGGAGCTCTCTATTTGTAAAAATGTATTCCTGGGGCCCCTAGGAACTCTTGGGAACACATTAGGACCCTCAGCTAGCCCTTAGGAGTAGTTAGCTACTCTCAGGGAACGGTCCCCTCCCCCTCCCCCTTCTCTTGCCAAACCAAATACTAGCCAATTTTATATGCTCTCTTTAACCCTTTTTATATAGTTCAATTCATTTATAACCAAATAAATTGGCCAATGCTAAATTTGTTAGAAAAATTAAAAACTGAGTCACCATCAGCGTACCACATGAAGGAGATGTTGTTCGGATTCCTCAAAAACCCGCTCTGTACATGCTCCTTATAAATGTTACTATCATTGTCGTGTTCCGATCTGATGCAAGTTCTGTTAGGCAGAGGGTGTGAGGGTAACAAGTGAGTACACTCTGGATTTCCACTGAAGACTGGTTTATTGGCACGACAGGTTGTTCTTTTATAGACAAATAACAAATGACGACAAATGACAAGTGCAGGTGTGCCAATATTGCATACACAACATCTCCCTCTTAAAATTACATATAGACTCAATAAAAAATATTAACATAAAATAAATTATTAAATTAAATTTAAAACACACATATCATCTTAACATATTTTAAGTACAAATCATAACTTCCTCCTCCCTTTACAAATTAAGCCTTTCAACCGATTTCTTCTCTCTAGTGGAACGCCTTGGCTGAGTCTCCACTATAGGATCAGGATTAGGAACATTAACAGAATTTGAGACAAGTTGATTAGCAATAACATAAGGCAAAGTATTTGGTACAGTTATCACAGGTTCTGACATCAGTCTAGGTTTAATGTGCCTCGAGTTTCGACGCACTTCAGATCTTCCAATTTTAACCACACAGGATCTTGGCTTATCACATATTTCAAGTATTATAGCAGGTTCCCAATACATAGTTACAACATTTTGTGCATACACTAAATCACCAACTTGAAATTCATGACTTTTACGTTTTGCCTTCTTGTTGTACAGCTCAGTCATAGTATCTTGTTTAGCTTTTAATTTATCTTTTATGTTTGGATTTACAAATGGCTTTAGCAAGTTGGCTTTAATTGGAACAAATGACCTTAAATTTCTGCTCATTAACATCTGTGCGGGTGATAAGCCTATACTTGGTAAAGGTGTGGCTCTGTATTGTAATTAGCACTTAGATAAATTTGAATTTTTATCCACTGAACATTTCTCTAAAAATTTGCGAGCCACATCAACATACTTCTCCGCTAAACCATTGCTCTGATGATGATGGGGGCTACATGTTAGATTCTGACAGTTATACATTTGAAGAAATTGTTGGAACTCTTTTGAATTGAAGGGAACATTATCAGAATAAATCACTTCAGGAATACCATGCACAGAGAAAAGATGTTCTAGTACATTATTAACAGAGCTGCTTTTGGTACTTGATAATGAATTTACATCAAGCCATTTACTATAGCAATCAACAGTAACCAAAAAATATTTACCATTAAAATCAAGAATATCTACAGCAATATTTTGATAAGGCAAATCTGGAATAGGATGTGGCATTAGTGGTTGTTTTCTTAAGGATGGAGCAGATCGAGCACAGACACAACATTCACTAACAAATTTTTCTACATCTTTAGTGATACCAGGCCAATAAATAGTTTGAGAGGCTAAGGTTTTACATTTTACTATGCCCTGGTGGCCTACATGAAGTTCTTGTAAAGCTCGAGTTCTTAATTCATGAGGTATAACAAGACGATCTTTGAAAAATAATAAAGAGTTCTCAAATGCTAAGAAATTGCGACACCACCAATACTGTTGAGCTTCAGGAGAGATTTTGATTTTGATTGGCCACTCTGTTTTAACATAACCAATTACCTCTTGTAAGATTTTATCATTGTTTGTTGCCTCTAAGTAAATTGAATCTCTATACTTTTTACAGGTAACCATGTGAACTTGAAGCATTTTAACTTCATCACTACTAGTATGAGGCAGGTAGTCTCGTGACAAAGCATCAGCAATATACTTTTTAGAGCCAGGCAAATAAGTAACATCTAGATTGTATGCTACAGTTTTTAACATTAACCTAGTTATTCTTTTTGATGTTATGCTAGATAAGGCTTGCTTAAAAATAGAGACAAGTGGCTTATGATCAGTAAGAATTTTAACATTTGGATGACCATACAGGTAGTATTGGAATTTTTGACAACTAAAGACAATTGCAAGTAATTCCTTCTCGATTTGAGCGTAATTTTGCTCAGTTGTAGTTAAACTCCGTGATGCATAGGCTACAGGCTTGTTGTCTTGCATAAGGCATGAACCTAATCCAAATTGAGATGCATCACACTGAATGACTATTGGCTTTTCAGGGTCAAAGTTACACAAAGCAGTGGCATTACAAACCTTTTCCTTAATTCTTTTAACAGCCTCAGAATGATCAGGTAACCACATCCATTCTACACACTTACGAAGTAGCTGTCTGAGAAAAGCAGTGTCATCAGCCAGATTTGGAACAAACTCTCGAACATAATTTACAATGCCTAGAAATCGTTGCAATTCTTTAACATTCTTAGGATTTTCTAATTTCTCAATGGCTGTGACTCGTGAAGGATCGGGAGATCTACCCTCTTGGGAGTAGACATGCCCTAGGAATTTAACTGAATTTAGTTTGTACTGTAGTTTAGTAGGGTTAAAATGAACATTATACTGCCTTGCTCTTTCAATCACTTTCTGAAATATTGCATCATGTTCTTCTTCACTATTGGCAGCAATTAAAATATCATCAAAATAGATTAAAACTCCATCTATTTCACCAAAAATGTCACAGGCTGCTTTTTGAAATATTTCTGGTGATGGCTTAAGGCCAAATGGCAATCTTAAAAACTTGTAGACACCAAAAGGTGTGGAAAATTGACACAAGTTACTGGATTTGCTATCTAATTTGCAGTGCCAAAATCCAGACGAAAAATCCATGACAGTGCAAAGTCGTTTGTTAGACAGTGAGGCATTAATTTCTTCATGACTTGGTATTTGATAAAATGGCCTACCTAAGGCTTCATTTAGATATTTAGGATCTAGACACAATCTAAGTGAACCATTAGCTTTTTCTAACAACACTACAGGTGAGATCCATCCAACAGGGTTTGAAGTATTGGCAATTATTTTTTGAACACATAAATCATGGAGAAACTGTTTATATTTTTCTCTGATTTTCTGAGGAACTCTACGAGATGGTATGGCAACAGGTTTCAGTTTCTGATTGATATCAAGCGTGAATTTACCAGGAAAACAGCCTGCTTTAGAATTAAACACATCAGGGTTGTTTGCTATTATCTCATCAATAGACTTATATCTATCAGCATATGAAAAATATAGAGAAGCATAAGCTGGTGCATATGAAACTAATGGGGTTGCTAATTGAACCTTTTTTGCTTGTTTTATGGTTTGGGACTTGTATCTTTACTTTCATTAAATGCTTTAACAATACTAGTTTTTGAGGAGCTAATTGAGATTTTAAACACGTTCTTTACATTTAATGGTTTGGGTCTTGTTTGTCTGTTTATAAGACCAAACTCTTCACATGATTCTAAACCCAAAAGAGGCACACTCTCTACATCAGCAACCACAAACTCAAGATCTAAAGTTTTACCATTTAAA